TTATGTAAATTTCTACCATATTTATAAATTATGTTTCTTAAATTCCTGGTATTCATGCCTTCTCTCTTTTCCTAATCGATCCACTTTTGTTGATTCAGTTTGTTGTTTTCTTTCTCGTTAATTTCTTTTACAATTTCACAGTCTCTGGGTCTACTCTGTTTCTTTTCTAACCTCTCAAGTTAGATGCTTGGCTCATTAATCTTCAGTCTTTTCTCATAGATCCATTTAAGGCTATAAATTTTTCACTAAGATCTGTTTCAGCTATATCCCACAAGTTTCGATATGTCATGTCATTTATTGATCAGTTTTAACTTTTTTCTGTTGGCCATTACGATTTTCTATGTGAATTATTTAGTAAATATAAACTTTTTCAGATGCATTGAAGGTTTTTGGTTTACATTTTTCTGTTAATTTTTAATTGTATTGCATCATACTCAGAACATGCTCTATGAGATACTGATTCTTTGGTATTTTTTGAAATTTGCTTTGTGGTATCCTAATTGGTCATTGAAAAAATAAATATTTAATGTGTGCTTGACAAAAAATGTATATTTTAAAATTTTGGCTACGAGGCTGTGTATATGCAATAGATCAAGTTGTTACTTTTGTTAAAGTCTTCTATATTCATACTTTGCTTGATCTCTTAAATCTTTGTTAAAATCTCTTAAGATTATGGCTTTGTCATTTTCTCCTTATAGTTCTGTCAACTTTGGCTTTAATTATTTTGAAGCTATGTAGTTAGATGAGTTCAAGTTCACAGTGATTATACCTTCCTGGTGAGTTGTTTCTTTTTTTTTTTTTTTAAGATTTTATTTATTTACTTTCCTCCCAAAGCCCCAGTAGTAGTTGTATGTCATAGTTGCACATCCTTCTAGTTGCTGTATGTGGGACACGGCCTCAGCATGGCCGGAGAAGCGGTGCGTCGGTGCGTGCCCGGGATCCGAACCCGGGCCGCCAGCAGCGGAGCGCGCACACTTAACCGCTAAGCCACGGGGCCGGCCCTGTTTCTTTAAATATTATGTAGTGACATTAATCTTAAGTAATGCATCATTTCACCTTGAAGTCTGTTTGTTCTACTGTAGCTACCTGCCATATATTTTTATATCCCCTCCCCGCCTTTAGTTGCCTTTTGGTGTCATTATTTTTTAAATGTGTCTAGTAGCTGGTTTTAATCTAATCTGAGACATTGTCTTTTTGCAGGTGAATTTAAGCCATTTGTATTCACCACAGTTCATGATTTATGGTTGTTTTTATTTTCACCATCTTATTTTGTGCTTTCTGGTTTTCATGCTTTTTCTTTTTATTTCCTCTTTCTATTGGATTGAATGAGTTTTTTTAATTACACCAACCTCCTTCCCATTCCGCACACCTTTTGGAAGTTATACGTGGTCTTTCCTTTTAGTGTTTACTCATAATTTTAAAATGCTTACATGACTTAAAGTCTAAAACTAGTCAGTTTTTCTCCCTTTCTGTGGAGAAGAGCCTGAAGCCTTTGAACTCTGATCATATCTCTTTCATGTTATTGTTGTCTAGTATTTTAGTTCTGTCTTGTTTTATCTGTACTCCAATTACTCATTATTACCACTGTTTTATATGGTTGGTGCCTGTTTATATTGACCACATTACCAGTTTTTTTGCTCACTGCTGTTTTGTTATCCCAGTTCTTTCTTCTAGTTCATTTTATTTTCCTGAAATAAGTCATTGAACATAATTCTTTGAAATTAATTTTCAAGTTCTTTGAGATAAGCCCAAGAATTTAATTTTTTGAATATGAGTCTATAAATGGTAAAATTTGCATCTCTTTTTGTTTAAGATGTCTTTTATTTGTTTGGTGTTTTTTGGTCATCACTTTTGAATGATGTAGTTCATCTGGGTATAGAATGCACTGGAGGTTGTTTTTCTTAGCATTTCCAAGACATTTTCCCGTGTCTTTGTTTCTGTAATTGCTTTTGAGAAGCTGGCCCACAGTCAGTCTAAGTATACCTTCTCTCTGTATAGGTAATCTGTCTTTTCCATATGGTTGCTTTTGAGATTTTCTGTTTTAGGTGCTGTAAATTGCACCAGAATGTGAGCAGATGGAGATTCATTTTTACTTATGGTGCTTGAGACTTGTGCCTCTTGAATCCGAAGACGTATGCCCTTAATTGAACCTGGAAAATTCTCAGCCATTGTCTCTTCAGTTTTTGCCTCTCTTCCATTCTTTTTATTCTCTCCTTCTGGAATGTCTGTTCAAATATGTGTCAGACCTCATCCTGGCCTTCCTGTCTCAGGATGTTTTAAATTTTGAAATATCACACATTCAAAAGAGTAACTATATCTATAATTTAAATAATAATGCATAATATTATACAGTAATATATAATATAATAACAACATTATTATAAAGCAAACATCTGTGAGTCGGCCACCAGCAGCCTGAGCAGGGGAACGTTACCTGAGATCGTAGTAGTTCAGGAGTGGAGTTCTCACATGGTTTTTGTGAGGATGCAGTAAGGGAAGTGGGTAAAACCACCTGGCTTAGGTGCTTAGTAGCAGTTCCTTCTTCACGGAAAGATAGAATCAGTGGTGTGGGAGAGTGGGTTCTGGCAGTTGTTAAATTTGGGGTAACATTTATTGAGTGCTTGAAGTACAGGGCCAGAACCAGGTGCTTTACCTTGGTTGTCTCAGTTCATCCTCACGTCAGCTCTGAAAGAATGAACTGTCATGTTCTCATTTTTCACAGATGAGGAATGAGGTTGGGAGATGAAGTAATTTGGCCAGGGCTCAGAGCTAGAAAACGGCAGAGCCACAACTCCAGCCCAGGCAGTCTGGTTCTCAACCACTGGTGCTTCGTTGCCAGTAAATGACCCATGGGGCTTCTCTTATAACACCCAGATTTTGTATAATATGGTGTTTGTTGATTAGCATTTTCTTTTATGAATTCTTTTTTTGGTGACACATTTCAGGAGATCCAAACTGGGTTTAATTAGTTTTGCAAGGGAAAAGGAGGGAGAGCATGTGAAAAGAACTCAGGCCTTTGGTCTATAGACAGGGCCATCTTCACACCTCAATTTAGGACTCACCTTTCTCAGCAAAAAAAGCCCCCCAAAGACTGTGACCCCCACCAGTCTGGTTGGATGCCCTTCTGTGTTCCTGTCGCCCCCATGCGTGTCCTGGTGGGGCATGTCTCATGCTGCACTGTAATTGGCGGTGTAAGTGTCTTCTGTCCTCTCACTGGACTCCATGCTCAGTCAGGACAAGGCTGCCCTGTTCACTTCTGTATCTCCAACACTCAGCACAGTCTGGTGCATAAAAGTTCACAAATAACACACATTGTAATTCTTGATGATGGATTAAATTAATATTTTATGCTAGAAGAACTATTAAGTGACAGTAGTTTTTAATTGAGTATTTACTATATTCCAGGTACTATAATTAGATTTTTTACATACGTTACACAGATAATTGTAATACCAAGTTATGACTTAGCTAAAAATGTTCTCTTATTTAATCCTCACAGCAATCCTGGGAGATCAGTAGTATTGTTACCCATTTTACAGATGATGAGCTGAAGTTTAGACAGATTACATGACTTGCCTACGGTTACATGCTGTTTAAGCAGTGGAGCCTGGATTTGAACCCATCTTTGTCTGACTCTGGATACCGTGGTCTTTGCTCTTTAGCATACTGCCTCTCTGGAGATTTCCACAGTCAAGTCAAAGTGAAGAAATCATAGAATTTACTGATCCTGAAAAATTTCCAGGAAGCCGGCCCCAGTCTTGTGACGACTTGCCATAACAGGGGAGCAACAATAGAAAACGGGTTCAGTTTTACATTGCAGGATTCCTTTCTGTACACCTGCTTTTAGAGCATGTAGAACCTCAGTGTGGACTGACGTAACCTGTTTAGAAAAGGAAGTCACTTTTGTACACATGTTGTTACAACTGCATTTGTCATGGTTAACATAAAATTGGTCTGATAAGCCAGATTGGCGTGTAGATTCAAATGTGTTAACACGAGCAAGATGTGATAACTGGTTATGATCAACATTAAAAATGGTGTTCTTGGTGAGATGTGGCACCAGATAGTGGATGGAGGTCTAAGCTGGTGTTAATTAGACTGGCATTTCTGTTGGTCGAGGGCAGTGGAACTGAGACATTAAAATGTAGTATGCCCGTTAGCCCCTAAGCAATAGCTGAAGCTTTTCTTTTTCTTTTCTTTTTTTTTTTGTGAGGAAGATCAGCCCTGAGCTAACATCCGTGCTAATCCTCCTCTTTTTGCTGAGGAAGACCGGCTCTGAGCTAACATCTATTCCCAATCCTCCTCCTTTTTTTTTTTTCTCCCCAAAGCCCCAGTAGATAGTTGTATGTCATAGCTGCACATCCTTCTCGTTGCTGTATGTGGGACGCGGCCTCAGCATGGCCGGAGAAGCAGTGTGTCGGTGCGCGCCCGGGATCCGAACCCGGGCCGCCAGTAGCGGAGCGCGTGCACTTAACCGCTAAGCCACGGGGCCGGCCCTAAAGCTTTTCTTTTTATTGTCTTAACTTTGCCTGCTCACAATGCCATTCATTTCCAGAACTGTTAATTTGTATATTCAAAGATTATTGTATTAAAAGTTATATTTTACATTTTGAATAATACCAAAGTTTTTTGTTTTTTTCTTTTTTTTTGTAATAGTAAAAACACCTGTAATTTATAATTTGACTATTGTAGAATTGTATTTTGGTAAAAAGACTTTTATACTCTCTTTTGCTATGTCTGTTAATATAGTTCATTAAATAAAATGTTTGTGGTTTTAGAAATTTGGATCCTTATAGTTTGGTGGAGTGTTCTTGGTGGTAGCTACTTCTAGAAGTGAAAGTTGATAGTTCTTAACTAGTTGATGGTGACCGATATGAATGTTGTATATAGACAGTTGAGAGTTTCTGGTGGAGGTAATGAAGGAGAAATGGGTCTCAGAAAACACACAAACGCTGTGGTGTTGATGTTTCCTAATAGGTTTGTTTTCTCTCTTCTTTCAGACTGGTCGAATTGACAAATCCTACCCTACGGTATGTGGCCATACAGGACCAGTGCTGGACATAGACTGGTGCCCACATAACGATCAGGTCATTGCCAGCGGTTCAGAGGACTGCACGGTTATGGTAAGCTCCTGGGGTGTGGCATGCACACAGGCCAGTGGGACTCACCTGCCGCTTCCGAAACGTGTGTGTGTAGAGGCTTGAAAAGCAGAGCAGTGTTAATTGTCCATTGGATTAGACAAGGATTTAGCAACATTCAAGTTTAGCTACAGATAAGCCTTTTACAAGCCCTTAAGTCAAGAGGTTGTACTATATTGTCTTTTTTCTTCTTTTGTATGAGTATGTGTGTGTACATGCTTATTGACACTAGACACATCTGCTCTGGGGGCAGGATATGAGGGAAAGTAAAATGACTTTCCAATAATTCTGTGAATGCCATTGGACCACATGATGACCCCTCCCCCTTCCAAAAAAAGGAGAGAAAAAATTCCTAGTGTGAATTATATATTGCTGTGAAATGAGCTGCCGAAGGTTATACAGATAAAATGGGATATGTAACAGATAATGAGAGATAGTGAAGAGTTATTGCAAGTGCTTATTTCCAAGCTAACGTCAGGAGGTGTGTTCTGACTAGTAGACCCTGGTGAAGAAAGTCCTTTTCATGCAGACATATAAACAAACAGCTTGAAAGATAAAATAAGTTCTTTACATTCTCTGGTTTAGATTCCAAAAGTAGATTTTGTACGAAACCAAGCTTTGGGGTACTTTTTGGTGTAAAGCTTCTTGTTCTTGATTATGTTCTTCTTAGCCTTAAACTATAATTATTGGTTTGGATCAATTTTTAATCCTAGCCCAAAATATGTCGAAAAGGTCAGGCATAAGCACAGATCGGGGGTACTGGAAGAAGTGGAGGTAGGCCCTAGTTAAGTTGCAAGAGGTCTCACTCAGGCTAATGGACAGCTTGGAGAACCATACAACTTCCATTTCCCTCCTCATTTTCTGTGGACTGAACCAGACTTAGAAACCATTAGTTAACATTGTTTTACCTAAACACAAATTAATTCCTGAACTGTGTCATTTAAACATTTACCCGGTTTTCCTCATGGACTTTTGGCTGAGGATAACTCCTCCTGTGATCTCATAATTTTGGCAGCCAAAGCATATTAAAGAAATATGCTGCTGTTAAAAGGAATTGTTCCATTTAATGTGCCTTGCTAAATTGATCATTTTAATGGCTGCGGGCACATTTTGCTAAGGGAAAGGAACAGCATTTAGACCAGATGCCAAAATCTTAAACTGAGAGTCTTAACCTCTATTGAGGGAGCAGGTTTGATCCATCTCTCCCTGTTTCCAGTGTTATTGGTCATGTTGCCTTTAAAAAAATTTTTTTGAGTTATAAAACACACTAAACAAACGGTTAAATGAATTCAGTTGTGAGAAAGTGAATTAAGTCAGTTACGTGATTTATTACAAAGTGAACACCCTGTAACCACCACCCAGGTCAAGAAATAGAACTTTCCCGGCCTTCTCAGACTCTTCCCAATCGCAAGCCCTCCCTCTCTCTAAGAGTAACCACTATCCCCACTTTTCTAATCCTCACCTCTTTGCCTTTCTTTATGGTTGTAATCACTCAGGTGTGCATCTCTAGACACTATAGTTTAGTCAGGCCAGTGGTAAAAACTTGATATATTGTTTAAGTCTTTCTTAATCTATAGGTTCCTCCTCCATCCTTCTCATGTCCTTAACAGTGTATCTGTTGAAGCAGCCTGACCTTCAGCCTGTATCTTTCAAGTCTAGATGTCGCTGATTGCACCCTCATGGTGCAGTTCAACATGCTCCTCTGTCCTCTGAATTCCCTGCAAATTGGCAGCTGGATCCTGAAGTGTGATGGGATTCAGGTTTGATCCCTTTGGCAAGACTATATACAGCTAGTGTTATGTTCTTCCATCAGGAAGCATGTGATGTCAAGATGTCTGATTTTTGTTCTTTTTTGATTTGAACTATTGATGCTCAGTGCCTAGATCCAGTGTTTTATTAGGGGTCACAAAATGGTGATATTAAATTCTATTATTTTGTTTTCCATTTTTAGCTGGTAAAATTTTATAAGATGATGCTCCCTCTTATCTATTATTTAGTTACCCAGTAGTAAGTTCATATAGGAAACAAGATAAATGCTTGATTTTTTTCCTTTTATTTACCCAGTTTTCAAGATAGTGAATTTGTTCACTGTCTTCCTCAGAAGGGACCGATTAGGTTTTTTTTTTTTCCCTCTTTCATTTCATTTTGAAATCACGGATTTTAACATATTTCATGGGTTTCAATCCGTTACACTTCTTATCTCAAAGCTCAGGTCATGCAGTCTTTGCCAATGGGGATCTCTTCAAGTTTCCTGAGTCCTTTTGACAGAACCCTGGTAGGCTTTGATAGCTACCTTGCTATCTGGTATGTTAAGGTGTTCCAGGGATCCTCCTGGAGTTCTCTTTCTTGCCCCACACCTCGAATCAACCGTTTCTGTCAGAAGCTCTGTTGGTTTTTTTTTTTTAATGGAAAATGGAATTGCTAGATCACAGTCTGGGTGCTAGGAATGCTCATTGTTACCATGATGATCATTGTTTTTAACTTTGCAGTAAACGGGACTAGAATACACATATGTATTTAAAGATATAATACCTTGTGACTTCATCTTAGTATTTCCAGTTCAAATTCAGGACTATAGAGTTTTAACCTAACCTCTTTAATATTACATTTCTGTCTCGTTTCTTCCACACTGAGAATCCTGGTTCTCAAGGACTCAGTGGATGAATTAGAATATCCTGATCTATCTCATTTGCTTTTTCGCAGTGTACATACAGTAGTCTCAGAGTAAAAATACTAGTATCACCACCAATTATGATTACTGAAAATTGTTTTAAAAAACCAACTTTTTAATCTATGCTATCTCTGTTCTCCTGTTTAAAAACGATGTACTCTATATTTTCGAGGTCACATAGCCATTACATTGAACAGCCTCTCCTATCTTAGTTTTTGCAAGTAACCACTTTTAGTGCTCTCCATTGGTCCTCATGCTGATCTCTCTCTAGTCATTTGGATCATCTGAAGCTTCTTTTCTGGTAGACTCTAGACACCAGTAATCTAGAAACCAGCCAGAGAAGGCTCCTTTCAGGACAGGCCCCACACTGCAGAGAGATTCCAAGGAATGGAATCAAATAGGAAAGGCTCATGGGAACAATACTCTCTAAGCTCTTTTATATCAATAATAGCTTGTCTGTGACCTGTGTACCTGAAGGTGAGTTTTTCTGGATAGAAAATCCTTGGTTCTCACTTTTTCCTCAAGTATCTAAATATATTATTCCATTTTTTTTTGGCATCAAGTGTTGCTGGCAAAAAAAAAAAATCAGAAGATAATCTAATTTTCTTCTCTTATAAATTCTATGTTCTTTCTGCCTAGGTGTTCATTAGATTTTTTTCTTAAAATATAGTAATTTTACTAGAATATTGTTGATTATTCTGAGTTGGTGTTCCTAGGTTCGTGATATGCTCCTTCAATACATAGTTTCAAGGTTTTTTTTTTTCAGGAACGTTTTCTTGAATTATAGTTTTTAGTATTTGTTCTGTTTCCTTGCTTTGGTTTTCTCCTTCAGGGACTCCTGTTATCCATATGCTTTATCTTCTTGACCTGTCTTCAGTATTTGTCGATTTCTCTGAACTTTTTTTCCTGCTCATTTCTTTTAGACTAAAAATTTTGTTTTTTACCTTTTATTTCTTTTGGGGCATTATTTGCTGTGTTTATTTGATCATAGGTTCTTTCTTGGTTAGTCTTCATTTTTAAAGTGCTTTTTCTTTTGTTTATAATTTTTTAAATTTCTGCAGCCTTACTTTTGAGTTTTTCAAGTTCTGATTTATAATGTTTCCTGTCTTATATTGTTTTCTTAGTCTTGTATCTTGTTTTGAAATATATGTGATGGTTTTTACCTTTTTTTGAGTATGTCTTCTTAGCATTCTTGTATTGTCTGTAGGGATGTTATTCTGTGCCTTATTCTCTTTTTTTCTTATAGTAATTTTGGGACCCTGATTTTTATTTTCTCTTATTTGTGTGTGAATTCAGTTTTCCTGAGCTTTTAGAAGGTGGCTTGGTTCACGTAGCTGTCCTGACTCACAGGCTCCCCCTTCTGTCACGTTCAGGTAGTGTTCACAAACACGGTGGCTTTCTTGCTGAGGTTTCCTGGTCTGCCTTTATTTGATCTTTCTCATTCTTTTGTCCCTCTTATTTCTGTCCTGCTCGGATTTGATTCCATTCCTTGGACTTTCTCCTCAGTGTGGGGCCTGTCTCAGAAGGGAGCCCTCGCTAGTTGATTTCTAGAGTGTGGGGTCTGGATTGCCCCAGCCCCTTCATGCCTTTTTATTTCAGGCCCCTGCTCACCTGCTGTTGGAGAGGGCAGAACCCCTCCCGGTTTCCACCCTGGTCTCACATGGCCTGCTGTTCTCAGTTCCGTGAGGCGCCCCGTCGCTGCTCCATGATTTTTCCACACAGAGGCTGGGAATACGCAGGTCATGTGGCTGTTGGTGGTTTTCCTCCACCCACTTGCGTTTGGGGGTTATCACCCAGTTTTGTGTCTGAGTTTTTGTTTTGTTACCTGCTTGCTCTGTGTTTTAATGGAGGGACTTAGGAAGATCCCAAAACTACGCTGCTGCTGACACCGCCATCTTCCCAGAATCCTCTGACATTGCCCTTTTCTTGGTATCGCCAGAGTGAGCGTTTTGTAAATTAAACAGTGCTTTGGATGAATCCTCTTCCTAGTTTTTTTCTTCTTTTTTTTAAGCCCTTAAATATGGCACTCGTATTTCAATTGCTTCCTCTCCCCCAAATCCTTTATTATTGTTGGGGTAATTACAAGAAGCTTTTATAGTTGAGCAGTTGAAATGAAATTTTAAAGAAATATTTGGTCTTCTCCTACCCCACCTGCTTCTATACCTCATTTTCCACTTCGCTTTCCTGAAGGTGAAAGAACCCTGTACAATAGATAAATGGTTTCAAACAACACCATTTTTTTTTTTTTTTTACAGAAAAACTCTGTAGTTTCCCAAGCCTAGGCTGTTAGTAGTAACCCAGGAGCTACAAGTAG